GGAGGGGGCAGGAATGAGCCCTGCCAATTAAACATGCAAATGCCACTGGAACATGTGAGCACCCCATTTAGCATGGAGAGTGCCGGTGCAAAGCAGAGGAAGGTTTGCAAAATGGCAAGCTTCTTCCTTCCACCAAGGTTTAGAGCTGGTGGGAAGACGCCGGTGCCCCGAGAGCTTTCATTGCTCAGCCAACCTGCCCTCAGCATCGCACTGCCCAGCAATTGCAATTGCCCAAAGGCTGGACAGGGTCAGGAGTCAAGGTGGGGTAGGGTGGAGAAAGAGAGAATTGTTGAACTGAAGCAAGTGCTCTACAAAGGATTCACACACCCCCAAAGAATGCCCCCCTCTTCGGAGCGCAAAACATGTCCGGTCTATGCCATAAGCATTTTCAAGACTTTGATGGGTAGACACTTGGCTTGGCACAAAGGGTCTGAAGGGGGAATGGCGTGGAGGAAAGCTTTGCCGCCACCACCACCGCCAGTAAGGTTCCCAGCGAGTCTGCTTTGCCAAGGTAGCTCAACTCCATTGCCACTTCCGCCATAGCTGAGCTCTGGGGAGCCTCCTCCTCCTGCTCCTCCTCTGCACTGGCTACTTCTTACGGCAGAAAGCATGGCACTGTAATCATGACCCAAAGCCTGGCATGAAAACTCATGGGGGGGGCGGGAACGCCGGGCACTGCTGCTGCTCAGGAACCAAAACGAGGCAACTGCTTCCAAGCGTAACTTCAGGGCGGGACCGCGGGACGGAGGGAGAGGGAGAGAGGGGAAGCACAAGTGCCTCTCTCTCTCACACACACACATACACACACACACACACAAACACACTGAGTGGGGGAAGAGGGCAGGAGAGATGCGCCGATGGAGAACCAGCCAAATAGGAATGTCCGCAGTGTGTCAGCTGTGGTGGGGTGCCTGAGATGCAGTAGGCTCTTAAGGCAGCCGTGTTCATTTGTCCCATTCCATTCGGGCCGGTTCCTCCTCTTCTCGATCCCCGTGAGAGCAAGATAGAAAAACTTGTGTGTGGGGCGCGTGTGGGTGCTCGGACCAGATTAATGAATGAATAGACAGAAAGAGTGGGAGAGAGAATGAAAAAGAAAGAGAGAGAGAGAGAGAGAGAGAGAGAGAGAGAGAGAGAGAGAGAGAGAGAGAAAAGAGAGAGGGGGGAGAGGAAAGAGAGAGAGGGAGAGAAAAGAGAGAGAAAGAGGGGGGAGAAGAGAGAGAGAAGAAAGAGAAAGAGGGAGAAAGAGGGAGAGGAAAGAGAGAGGGAGAGGAAAGAAAGAAAAAGGGGGAAAGAGAGAAAGAGAGGGAGGAAGAGGAAAGAGAAAGAGAAAGGGAAAGAGAGAGAGAAAGAGAGGGGGGAGAGGAGAGAGGGAGAAAGAGAGAGAGAGAGAGAGAGAGAGAGATCATGCACAGCAGCCTCTATTTCTTTTTAATTAAACTCTTCAATCAAGCTCTCCCCCTTCCTATGCACACTCCCAGAATGTTGCAGCTCCCAGTGTTTTCTTTCCTCTGGGAAACGGGTTCAAGTGGCTCTTTGAGTGTTTATGGTTGCAGATCCCTGATCTATCGGAACCATGACATTAACATTATTTATGATTGACTTGGCATATAGAAGACCAGCAAAATTCAAGTTAAAATATTGATTCGTTTATAAAATTCACACATATACGCCCACAAAAATAAACACCTAAGAATTTAGAAATTTCTTCGTCCATATGTCTACGTATATCAATCAGAATAGAGCTGGAAAGGAACCTTAAAGGTCTTCTAGTCCAACCTCCTGCTCAAGCAGGAGACCCCGTATCATTTCAGACAAATGGCTGACAGTCTCTTCTTAAAAACCTCCAGCGATGAAGCACCCACATCTAGAGGGAAACTGTTCCACTGGTTAAATTGTTAGGAAATTTCTCTTTAGTTCCAGGTTGCTTCTCTCCTTGATTCCTTTCCACCCATTGTTCCGTATGTCGCCTTCTGCTGCTTTGGAAAACAAGTTGACTCCCTCTTCTTTGCGGCAGCCTCTCAAATATTGGAACGTTGGAATGCTGCTATCGTGTCATCTCCCATCTCCCAGCAGAAAATCGCAGGCAGAAGTTTTAATCATGCAGCATAAGTGCAAAAACATTTGGAAACAGAAGGAACATGCAGCAGCAGCAGCCGACATGTTTCAGCCTTGTTGCCTTGCTCCCCCTCTCCTCCGACCTGCCCCCCCACTCACCTTCCAGCTGCTGCTTCGTCCCTGGGAAGAGCACGAGAGCCGCTCTACATCTCTCCATCCTCCCGTGGAAGACGACGTTCCTCAGCCCTTGTCTTCTCCTCGACGTCCTTTCTAGCAATACTCGATGGTTTTCACTCCGCTTGACCTTAGCTGCTCTCCCTCCGGTTGGAGGTCGGAACTGAGCCAGCAGCGATGCTGATTATGTTGACGGTTTGCAGGCGCTGTGGTTGTGTTAGAGCGCCACCTAGTGACGCGAGCCTGAAAATACACTCATTCTTTCTCCGGCGTTTCTAAGATGTTTTAATGAAGAGGCGTTTTCCATTCTTAGCCACCACGTCCATCACTTTTCTCCAGGACGATCTAGCCCTCG